CCTTAACTTGCTGTGTGATCTTAGATGAGTTACTTAATCCTTCTGGGCGTAGCAAAATAATACTCCCTTTGTCAAGTTTCTGTGAGGGTTCAAAAAGGCTAAGGGTATAATCACATGGGAAATTCAAAGCACTCTGCAAATGTTAGATACTAATACAACAGTTCTGTAATTCTAGTATCCAATTCCTATGACTTCGAGTAGGAGCCGTGTGGTATTGTGGGAGAAGCCACAGGTCATGTTTGAATCCCATTTGAGTCACTAGCTGTGGCTCCTGGGCAAGTTAATCTGAACCTTAGGTTCTTCATCTGTAAAATGGGGGTAATTATGCCCTGATGGGTAATTGTGAAAATTAAATGAGAGAACGCAATGTAAAATCCTTTCTGGATGCTTGATGTAGAGTCCCACAAATGTTTACTTCCTAATAAAGAGTAGAAAATAAGTTTACTTGATCACATGCAGCTCAAATTGAAATTGAATAGAATGAAGCAGGAGAGGATGCCCCAGAACCCAAATTGAAGCAATCGATTGCACAACTTCTGTGCTCCCACTTTATCTGCCTCCGCTTGCATATTTTTTAATTGAAAATGTAAATGCAGACAAATAGTGAGAAGCTTATTGAACCTGAGTTAGGAGTTGACCTAAACCCGGACCAGAGATTTGGTGGTATGATTGACAGGGAGAGGGTAAACTTGGGCCACCTAAAAAAAGACAGGGTGAGATTTGACGATCACACACTCTAAGGAGAGGAAAGGGGTTGTTAAATAGCAAAACCAGTTATGTTTTCTATGGAAAAACCCACAAAAACTATTTTTTGTTTTTTTCAACTTCAAAAGTCTTTTGGATAATTACAATTAAGTAATTCATTTTGGAGAATTTCTTTTAGAGAGATACCATACCGATGCTTGGCACATAATTGAGCACATTGTTGCTTAATTAATATTTATTTTGGATGCATAGTGGTTTGAAGGTCTTAGGTTAGTGACGGCGGTATTTGCTGCTGTGAGCGCTGTGCTGACTTGAATACAACAATATGTGCTTGTGTTTTCCTGAATCAGCTCCTAGCCTACTAATTAAATCTAAGCACATAATAATTAGAGCTGAACAGAAAAATCGTAGCGCTTCCTTTTAATTTTGCCATTCCAAGTTGTTGATCAAATGTATTCCCAATAAGATTTAGCAATTGGATACACTGTTATACCAACTTATTTTGAACAGTTTGGTCTTAGAGGTTGAGCGATTAATCATAATTGACTTGATTGAGTAACAGTGTTCATGATGATTCACGGAACCAAAATTCTTTAATTTTTATTAATTATCAGTCAAAATAAAATGGATGTTATCGTTTCCAGGTTAAAGTTAATATAGTTATAATTTCCCTTACAGGAGTGTGTTCCAAAGAGAGAGTTTGAATATTATCTTTTCTGATTTAAATGAAGGGTGTGGTAATGTGAGTTTTGGTTTTTTGAAATAAAACATGAAAATAAGAATTCTACCTTTTGCCTACTTAAGTGAATGAGCATTTTTGCATGTTTTAGTTAAATTGTACGATGCCTCTAAAATTATTGTTCGGAAAATATTTGAAGGTTGTCTGGAAAGGATGGTTCAGTCTCTAGAATTACAGCTGTCAGCCAAGCACATCATCTGTCAATTTCAAGAGCTTCACTAGTTATTTTTATTGTGAAGTTGGTTAGAAAACTATTTTGTGAAGTCATATATCATACACACATATTTCCCAGATAATGATAGTGAAATATTTTACTGTCTTTGGTTGACCCTTCCATGTTGCAGTGTCAGAGTTTAAGTATTTGGATTAAATGCTGAGATGCAGTTGAAACCGGTATATACCTTATTTTCATTGTTAACTCAAGATACTGTTAATAGTCTTAGTACTGAGACAAACATTTAAAAACTGGCACATGAATTTATCTAATTGTTGTATCATTTATAGTTATTCCAAAATCATTAAAAAGCAGCCTTTAATTAAAAAACACAGTTTTGCACAGTATGGCCATGTGAGCAGTTCTTTTCTGGTGTGAAAAGCAGAGTTGCTCTCCCATCACACTGTAACTGGAAAAACTGAAATTTGAAAATACGAGTTTTAAGATTCTGCCTGTTTGAGTTCCTAATATTCTTGCCCCAGTATTAAAATTGCCATCTTCATAAAACACAGTGGGAAAATACACCCATTGTTATGTTTCTAAAAAACATGAATTTATATTCAGCATGAACCTAAAATTCTGGAAGTAGCACAGTTTAAAAACCGATTAAGGGGAACCCATTGGCCTGTCGTACTCCTCTTCCTTTTGACCCATGGCTGCCCATTCCCATAAAGTGCTATATTTGGAACTGTGATTGGGACAGTGCTCACACAGCCATTCTCCTTTTCCTCTTGAAAAGCTTCTGGGCCGATTCACCGCTGCCTGATTTGGTATCAGAGTGGAAGACAGAAGCCTCTTCTGTGGCAGTTAGTTGTGCCGTTGAGAAGAGTATCTCTTGCTCCACGTGCGTGCACACATGCGCACATGTACATACACGTGTGTCTGTACACATATGTATACACAGAGCACACATGTCTGGGTGTATGTACATGTGTGTACACATATGTAGGGGTACGCACACACGCCTGTGTGTTATAGCCACAGGACAGCTGGGCCCCTCAAGGAGGCTTAAAAGAACAGATAATTAACATCGGGTTGTAATCACCAACATAAAAATAGAAGCTGAGGTTTAATTTTCTGTTCATTATTGTTCAAAATTACACTTTAAATAATAGTTTTCTCGGAGGTATGACTAGTCATATACAGTTCAGAGTAAGGCTATTGATTGAGCACCTAGTGTAATACTGTTTTTGATAAAAGGCATCCTGTAAATGGTGACTCTTTGAATTGAGTATAGATTTTAGAATTTTACCTCTACTTTCAGAATTGTACACATCATGGGAGATTAGAAAAAAAAAGAATAAAACCTCTTTAGGGGAAGAGAGAAGGGAGGTATTGGCTCATGTGATTTGGTATTCTGTGCTTTAAAGTTTTATGGCCCATGGTGCCTTCCTTGGGAGGATGAAGTGCAGGGAGCATGCATAAGCACATAATACTACACTGGTTTTATAGAGGGTAATTAATACAGAACTTTCTATGAACATTCTCTTAGTTGAACACTGTTTTCTGGTTTCATAGCAAGATTTTTAAAAAGTTTTATTTTGCTATGAAAATTTTGGATTCTTAAAAGCAGTCAGTTTTTAAGTTTTTCAAGTTTTTATACTGCTTACAGAAATAGAGGATTGGGCATTATAATTCAGTTGGTTGTGTAGTTCATGGACCAAAAAAGATTTAGTATGCTACAATTCTCTTAAGTTCCTCCCTTTAAAATATTTCCATATTATGTAGTAAATTTTTTCAGACTTTATTTCTGTGCCCAATATTTTTCTGTTAAGGTCTTTTCCATGAGAAGAAATGTGTTAATCAGATGAAAAATGTTTGGAGAAGATTTTGTTGTGATTGTAGAAAATTTTTTATTCTTCTATGTTTTTCACATGTTCAAAAAATAGGCTATGCTAAACAAAATTACAGTAAATGGAAAGATATATTGTTGTATTTCACTTTTAATATTATTAACTAATTCCTGTATGTCTATGTAAGGTTCTTTAATTGTAAGGCATTTAAATTTATTGAATGGCAGTAAATTTCATAGGGATTTATGCCTGGAGGAGAATTGGAGATGACTTAATTCTCCTTGATTTGGAAAACTGAGAATATTAAGTAACTTACCCAAGGTCACACAATTAGAAAGTAGCAGAACTGGGTCAGAATCTTGGATTCTTGATTTGGAGGTCAGTGTTTTTATTACAACTTTTAATATCAGAATAAGTTACTTTAACTATGATTTTCTGGAGCAGATTCAGTCTTTAGTATTTCAATGTGTTGCTCCTAGTACCTGGTTATGTATTGCACTTTGGATATTGGGGCTTCCATTTAGCATTAAAAAAAAAATTGGACTGGGTAATTCTAAACTTTGACCTAAATGTGCCAAAACTGGCAAGAAATTTTGAGCCAGGCAGAGGGACTTTGTTATGGGAATGAAACAAGAAATGATCTGTAAATGAATGAATGAATGAAATAATACATAAAGGAAATGATCTCTTCTAGAAAGTATCCAGGAGACTGATTATCAGGTAGTCAGACATACCATCTTGTCTGAAAGTAATGAACTTTTCTCTCACTAATTTAGAAGAGTTACATTTTGATGAAAGACATTAATTAAATAGATATGTGTATGTAAATCAAGTTAATTAAAATGGTATGTTTTTAGATTTAGGCTAGAAGGACCAGCCTCTGTATTTACCTAGATAGCTAACTGCAGGTTTAAATTCCTTGTATTTCTAAGATTTGTAATTTGCTTTTGAAAGGATAAGTCTCCTTTGTATTCTTGGGGATGAAGTAGTATTAGTTTATGAATAAAATAGTCATATTTTATTATTCCTCTTCCCTAAAAAAACTTTTTTTCACCTGGTTAATAGAAGATTTCTGGGTTTTGTGAGGTTAAATCCTTTTGCAATTTGGACGTACTTCATGGAAACCTGGTGGGAGAACCTTTAGAAGTAATGTTCTGGTTATGGGCAGCTGCTAGGATATTCCCTGTTCACTCGCTTGTCATGGAGCAAAAGCTCGGATCTTATTTTAGAGCCTCTTGACCAGATTCCTGCTGCCACCTATCTGATCAGTGTGTAAATGAGCATTGTTAACCAAGAGGAATGGTGCTCTTGGTCTCACCGGTGACCAAACTAAGCTGCCGTTTCTGACCTTGCCAGTATACTTAAAAGGAGATTTTCCTCTATTATTTTCTCTGAATCTATTGTTTTCTTCTTTATAGATGATCATGGGAACAGCAATAGTAGTCATGTAAAAATCTTTTTACCGAAAAAGCTGCTTGAATGTCTGCCGAAATGTTCAAGTTTACCCAAAGAGAGGCACCGTTGGAACACTAATGAGGTAGATAAATTTCTATTTTTAGGGGTACAGTTATTTTAAGGGCAAAGTTGTTAGGTCATTTGGCATAGTGTACTACTTTTTATTAGTTTTTAAAATCAAAATACTGGACTAGGGGATTGTAAATGAGAATATTTAATCTGGGTTTAACAGACACCAACATGTTTCTTGAACTATCTCTAATCTGCTTGGCTGGCGTTGAAAAATATAAAATGTGCACGCTGACTTACTAAGGTAGCATGAGTTACCATACTTGTGTTCTCTTGCATTTTGGCGTCTTACATTTGGTGGTTAACTTGCCTGCATCTCAGCTAAACACTAGTTCTTATGTTGTTATGAGTTAATAGACAGCCCCAGTGTTCCACAAAACATGCAGTTTCTTGACAGTGTGAAGTTTCTGTAGGATTGGGAAGGGCAGGCTTCTTATTAGCAAAACAGCTCTCACAACAGTCCTTTGTGATGAAAAGAGTTTGCATGGAGAATTGATGGGTTTACCTTAATGATAGGAGTTTTTTTATTAGGAATGGAGGCTGTATGGTAGATTGTGTATTTGGCATCCAATTAGAAGATTGGTAAAGTAGAATGAATGAAAGTATCTTCTTGGATGATGTTTCTTGTTTTTGGTAAGTCTTAGTCTGGGAGTCTTAATATTAAGGGTGGATTGCTTTGTCATCTTTTTAATTTTGAAATCTGAGTATTTCCATGTAGGGTAATACGCATTTAGTTGGTGATGAGAACTGGGTATGTGTCCAGTGATCTGGGAATTATATTCCTTTAGTTCAGATGGCTGTGATTACTGGTTTTCCAAAGTTGGTCTGAGTCAGTTTGTGTTGCTGGTTCAACATGCACTTCCAAGTTCAATTAAATACAACCCCCTGCTGTGTATTGGGCCCTCAGTTTCGTTAAAAGACACAAGAAGACAGTAGTGCTGCCTACTTACCTTATCTTTTTGAGATTATTTTATTCTAACTTCTTGACATGGAGTGCTTTTGTTTTGAGTTTTAAGAGGTTATATGGGTGAAAGTCTGTCTACTTAATCCTAGTTGACAGATTTAAATACTCAGTAGACCCTCATAGCTTTGATACTTTGTCTCAACTGATTTTAATTTCTTTTAAGGTATGTATATTTTGATTATTTGCATAAATTATATTTCCCCCTTAGACAAAATACTTTTACCTTGACAAACATTAGCTAGTTTAGAGGCCTCTTGTTTTAATCAGTCATCGATTAACGATTTTAAACATGAAAACAAAGTAAATATGCTGAAGATTAGTTTTAATCATAGATCATTACTCTGTCAGCAAAATAGTATGATTTGGGAGCCATTCAGTAGGTCATAACTAGGTCATGAATTATTTAAAAACTCAGTATGTTTCTTAGTATTCCCTGAAACATGGATCTGCTACCTTACTATTATATGTTAGCTCTAGTTTATTTATAAATGAAACAAAACACATAATTGGTATATATTTTTTCAATATTATGTTTTATGTGAAATTGGCAATTTATTTTTAATTACGACTTGAAATTGTATTTGAAACCAGCAAGCGCTTAATTAAAATCTGTGGTCTTTAGGGTCTTCTGAAGCTGGAGTCACAGTATTGGAAGCTCAGTTGGTAGACTGTTCAGATCCTTGCACAGGACTTCACCTTTCATGTATTTATCTCTGGTTATTGACAGGTTCCCCTTTACGCATAGTTCAGATACATTATAAAACACCTAATAAAGAATTTTTGTAGAGGATGAGATTAAAAGGAAATACGGAGCTGTTCTGTACTTTCTTCTAGGACCCTGGCCCAAAGAGCTCCTTGGAGACTGCTGATTTAGGTCACAGTGTTGCAAAAGTCCCTGTCCAGAGAGGAGACTTCGGTCCAATCTCTGACTGGCGAAACATAAAACTGGGGGCTCTGAGACATGTGGATTGTTTTGTGCAAGCTACCACTGCTGCTGAAAACGCCAGTGAACAACGTGTGTTCCCAAGGGTGGCTGGAGGCAGGATGGGTGGCTCAGCCGGCAGGGGCCAAGGCTCATACCCTTTTCCCTCATGACCCGTTGTTCTCTCAGTAATTTGTCAGCTCAACGCTGACAAAAACTCTTATGAGAGAACTGAATTTAAAGGTTGGCCCATATTTCATTTCAATGTAGAGGACATTGGCTTTCTTTCTTGTTTATTTTTGGCTTTAGGAAAAATAGGGGACTCTGGGAGTGACAGCTGAAGACTTAGGAGTCCTTAATTCTGCAGAGTGTTACGTGGTGATGGTAACCTGTCTTTTTTTTTTTGAACTGGCTTGGATAACAGGAATAAAACAATCTGTACTTCTATTAAAGCACTTCCTTCTTTGATCTAGCTGGGTATTGGCATTTTCCCACATTCTTCAGCCTGCCATCCTGCTAAACCTGAAGGAAGCGTCCTTCCGTGGACTTGTCTCTCTCTGGGGCTTTTGGTCCTATTTACAGCAGAGTCATGCTTAGTCAGAGTTGCCCATGAAGTCTCTTGAATTGCTCATGGAGTTAAGTTTAGTCATACTGCCATTAGGGAGGGCCCGTATCCTGCTGGGGTTGGAATAGATTGCTGTGTTTTGGTGGAGGACCACATGAAGTAGTCGGCTTGTATTTGGAAGCAGTGTTGTACCAAAACTGGTTTAGATCCCCCTTTCCTGGGACAAGGTGCTGTCACTGGGAGAGGCGTGAGTGAGGGAGGGCGGTGGACAGCACACCTGATTGCTGTTTTCCGTGTCACTCTGTGCAGCATATGTTCGCGGAGCAGCCTGGTGGCTGGAGTTGCCTGTCTGAGGTGTCTCTGTCTTCTATGCTCGCTCTCTGCTGGGTGTGTACAGTTCATCTCCTGAGTATAATGTGACTCCTCCATGCTTTTGAGAAATTCCTTTGTTGAGACCTGTGTTGTAATATTTGTGATGATTTGAGAAAACCTAGCTTTTGTACTGTGTCTTTGTTGAGAGAGAGTGAGATTGTGCCCATTCACATGTTGCCATTTATCGAGTCCCTGTTTTTGCTGGTGGCTGGGCACTGTGTATAATTATTTCTGAGCCTTATAATAATGTCACAAGATATGCCATATTTCCTTTTACTGATGAGGGTATAGTGGTAAAAAGTGGTTAACTCATTTGGTCAAGATAGCATACTTGTTAGGGCCTGTCTCTCTCTGAGCTTAATTTCTTGTACGTTGCTTACTAATTCTTAGGAACATTCATTCTGTTGTAATGTTGTCTTGGCTTTTAATCAAAGACCCCATAACTCTTAACCACATTAGTGTACTTGGCAAATCCATTCTGTCATTTAATTTTGGATTAAAAAGGGTTAACACAGGATTAGTGTTGTGGGTTCATATGCAAACATTTGGTGAAGCTGAAAGTCACCAAAAAGGAAGACTACCAGAAGATAAGGAGGTCTTAGGGCCCAGCTAAGCTCCTGGAACCTTTCTTAACACATTGGAATAGGTAAAATCTCCTGCCCTTCCTGAATGTTATTTGCAGTTGCAAAATAAATGTTGTGTCTAGAAACCGATCAGTGTGGATTATGCTTTCTCAGCCACACACAGCCTTTGCCCATGTTCTTACAGGCAGTAAAGGAGGGGTGACGGTGATGATGGGGCACTAATTATGGCTGCCAGCATTGACTGAACATTACTGTGTGTGTGGCACTGGTGGGTCCTTGATGCGAATAATCACATTTTTTCCTGGAATTCATCCTATGAGGCAGATTATGTGATTACCTTGTATCGATGAGGAAATCTGAGCCATAAAGATGTTAAATAATGTGCCCCAGAGTGGTGGACTTGAGAGTCTAACCTTGCAGCCTGATTTCAGAGCCCATCCTCTCTCCAGTTCTGTCCCAAAGAATAATTTCAAACAGACTTTCTCAAGATCTCGCAGCTGTTTAGTGATTTCTAACCCTTTTGTTTTATAGAATTGTTTGGCTTCTTTATTTATTTACATCTTCAAGTATTAAACATATTTTTGCATGAAGTTTTTTTTAAAAGTAGCACTCATTTCGGGGCACTGGGGTGGCTCAGTTGGTTAAGCATCTGACTCTTGATCTCAGCTCAGGTCTTGATGTCAAGCGTCTGACTCTTGATCTCAGCTCAGGTCTTGATCTCAGCTCAAGTCTTGATGTCAAGCCCCTGCGTTGGGCCCCATGCTGGGTGTGGAGCCTACTTACAAAAAAAAAGTAGCACTCATTTCTTAGGGAAATAGTTTTGATTCTTAATGAATGTTAATATGTAGGCTCTGGATAATGAAAAAATATTAAAAGTAGACATTTTGAAGCTGTGTGTAACTTGAGGGTTAGGCTTGATCTTTTATATCCAGGGCAGGAGAGAAAGAATGTATTAAACAGAGCAAAATTGTTGAAGAACCAGCTCTTATTCCATAATCAGTTTGGCATTCACGTCTTCATTAGGTGAACTGTTATAAGGTTTCTGCATTTTAAGTTAATATTTTTAAGGCCCAGAGCCAGAGATCATTATGCTAATGCAACTTTCTGATTGCACAAATGACTATTTATAATTACACATATTAGTGCTCCATGTATGTTGTCCAGACTGAAATTCTTTTGTTTAGTCATTAATTAGCTGTTTGACTTAAACTACGACTACTGCATTCCCCCAGTCGCTGGATCTGGATTTCAGATGGCATTCTTCCAAAGCCGAGCTAATGCACACCAACAGACCTTTTTAATGAAAATGTTCTGCTTAAATGTTCAAATCACTTTTGTGTGCTACTGTTTTTGAACTATTAATGCTCTTTTTTTTTTGTTTTTCCTCTAATACAAAGTTTCTCTAGAGGAAGTAAACAAAATGGAATTCTAGTTTGTACTGATCTTAAAGAAAGTTGCATCAAAGGTTTTCAGTTGGTGATAGCTTCAGAGATTTTCGTATTAAATGCCTCCTTTTTAATGGTAAACATGTCTGTGTAGAGAGGATATAACTCTCCACTGGTATAGTCTTAAGTCATGCCGAAGAACCTGAAGAAAAAAACCCCTAAGTGTAATGCTTTTTATAGGGAAAGAATTGCTTTTTTAAAGCCCGAATACTTTTTTTTCCTTCAATTTTTTATATTCAAGTAAGAAAAATGGACAAATGAACTTTAAGACTATGAGATTTATTAAATTATGTTTCATTTCAGTTGTTTTAATAAGAAGCCACCTTTTCAAATTTCTTTAGTCATTTTTTTTTTGTGTAGCCATATATTCTTGAGTGTTTTTTGTGTTTTTAATTTTTCTCTTGGAATACCTTATAGAGTCATAGTTTTAAGGGCTGTAATTTTTCAATGATTGGTTTTTCTAGTGTATTTATATGTTATCTTTTTGAAAGACAGACCCACATTTTGGGGGGATCATATAGCACTCTTCAGACTTCCACCATGCAAGCTAAACTGAAAAGTATTAGCGTTATGAAGGTGAGTGAGGTATTTGGCCTTGATGACTCAGAACGTTAGTTAACCCTGAGGTTGGTCTTTGTTTTGTGTAGCTTTTGGCAGTTGTTAACGGTTTGAGTGGTCCCAAGTTATTCTCAGAGTCCAGGCAGGGCTCTCCTGGTTCAATTGCAAATAGGAAAGTACAGATATGAACAGCACCACAGAGAGCCAAGTTTTAAGAGGGATGCCATTTGATTTTTAAATACAATATATTGTACCAAATTTCAAATTAAATGTGGTAATTTTGTAGCAATTGGGCTAACTATAATTCCTGTTTCACTTAGTAGTATGAGGTCAGGTAAATGGACACCGACATCCAAATGAGCATGCACCTGTTTATCAGACAACCTGTATCAGTTTAGCATTGGTGGTAGTAGAGGGAGATTGGATGTGTTGAAATGCTGGGGGCAGATGTCCTTCTACATCTCTGGGGGAAGGCAGGTGAGGAGAGGTCGAGACAAGTGGGTTTAGCTCTGAGGAACGGGAGGAGAAGCAGATCTTAACCTGCAGAGAGTAGAGTAATGGTCATAACATTTGAGTAAGATCTTAAAGAAAAATTTTTTTGAAGAAAGAAAATTCTTGTGGTTCTGCCTCAGTTTTGACCCCAGTGGTTTTTATTATATATTACTTCAGAATGTATCACTTAGAAGAATACTTGGCCCATAGTCAGTGTTCCATAAATATTTGTTGAATGAATGAAATGTGTAAAAATACAAAAACTCAGTATGAATGTCTGAGCTCTTGGAGTTCTTATGCAGATATAAAACTCAAATGTAAATATATTACATAAAAAAGATCAGAAAACTAATAAGATTTATATTAACAACATTAGTTAAATGAGATGGATGAAGTTTTGCCAAAACCAAATTGCTCTTGCAACACGAATGTAATAGTGACTGTTCTCAGGCAGGGTGTTTTGAATTTGGCCCATGACACACTATCATGTGCCCTGCAGTGATCCCACCCCCTCCCCATTGAACTATTTAGAAACTGATTTTGGCTCAGCAGGCATTTCTAGAAGTCTGTTGTTAGGCCTTGGTACAAATACATCATTTAGTCTGAAGTTCACTTCTGGATTTTCTCATTAGTCCGAGAACAACTTAAACGGGTCCCCAGGTGATTGTAATCACAGACCACAGACTTGAACAGTGGATCTGTGTGTTAGAAAAATTGGTTATAGGTTTTATTTTTTCAGGTTATAAATTAAGATGTGAAGTGAAAACTTTCCTAGTGAACTCAAGGACCACTGATCTCTTGGAAGGGATACACAGCTGGCAATCAGGAACTGGTTCTGTCTAGTCTTGGCTCTGCCACCAGTCAGCTGAGTGCGAGGTAAGCCACCTGCCTGGCCTCGTCTGCATCTGCTGTGATTGTGCTGAGTGACCTTTAGAGATATGTCATAAGTCCTGTTCTCCAGTTTTGGAGGCTAAATCACTGTTGCTCTCAGAGTTGTTTGGGAGTGTAGGACATTCAGGGCAGGCTTGGGTCCAGCTGGGGTGTGTGTTTGTTTATTTTTTGCTGTTAATCATCCTTTATTTTTATTTTTCAAGTCTATGCTTCAGTGGTTTTTAGTATAGTCTACGTACAGTTGTGCAGCCATCACCACCATGTAATTCTGAACATTTTCATCACCCCAACAGCTCGGGTTTTCCTTCTCTCTGGACTTGGTGGAGTCAGCACTCTCAAGGGGTGGCCAGCCTCTTTTTAGGGGGCTCAAGGTTCTTCTTTGGTATCTCCTCCAAGTTTCTATACCTGTGTGGCGCTGGAGCTGAAATTAGAATAGATTGTCTTTTTGTCCAGGTCTTAACACAGAGCACTTTGTCCTGAGATTGTTTTCAAAATGTTCAAGTGCAAGTGAGGATCCAGTTGGGGCCTTGTTTTTCTGAGGGAAGAAGAGGGCTTGAGGAGAGTTTTCAGTTGAAAACTGAAACAATATGCCCTGCGAACTGGGTTACATGGGGATAAACTGCCCCGCCCTTTCTAGTAATGGTGGGAGACTCTGTGGCCATGACTTTCATAAAGAGAAGCTGAGCCCTGCTGGAAAGTCAGCTGAGATTGGAAAAGGGAAGGATACGTGGAAAAGTGGGCATTCTTTTTAGCTTACTGGTTTTCATGCTTAGCTGGCATCAGAATCACCTGGAGGGCATGTTAAAACACAGATTTCTGGGCTCCACCCCCAGAGTTTCTGCTTCAGTAGGTCCGGGGTGGGGCCTAAGAATGTGTATTTTTAACAAGTTCCTGTTGAAACTTAACCTAGATGAAGACTCTCAGGCCCCTAGAAGTGTATTCTAACTTCACTTGACTTTAATCTCAGCTCTGCTATCCTTATACCATTCAGGTATATTTTGGTGTACTTTGGCTACGTGCAGTACAGTTGAGCTTTCTAGAGTCTTCTTCTCATACACCTAGAAGTAAGAGAATGCAGTTAGTTTTGGTATTTATCTAAAGTATTGGTTAATGTCTTGTTATATAGGAAGCCCTTTTAAAGTATGGGTGGCGGTAGGGGTATGTGGAGGCATATTCTAATTTTTGTGACCTTGTTTTGAAAAGGTAGCATGAAGAATCATCTCTGCTCCCCCTTTCGTTTCCATCTCCATTTGGCCCAAATAGCTGAAAACAGCAGAACCCTAAAGCTGAACATCATAGCCTGCCTACTTACCTACCTACCTGTCTGCCCACCTTCTGGTCTTTTTAATACTACCTTCCAAATGTTTCTAATGATAAATTATGTTATCTTGGTAATTATGAAGTTCTGTTGAAGATTTTAAGAGAAGTTCCTAAAATATAACCTAAGTTTTCCAATTTTAATGCTTTTAGAAGGCTGGAAAAAAATGAAAAAGAAAAAACATACAAAGGAGTCCTTTCTAGATGGCTGAGAAACCACAGATGGGCTGGGGTGGATGTGATGAAGATAAATTTGTGTTTGGGAGAGTGTTTTCTCTGTAAGGGAGAATATTATGGGCAGGATGTGTGGATTTCATGAGGCTTTCTAGTATGCTTCTGTGCTTGTGTGTTCTCTGGTCTGGTGAAGGGTGTAGAGTTGAAATAAATGTAAAACTTAAAGAACCTGTTGTTTACGTTTGGGGAGAAAGGAGGAAAGGAGGAGGAGCTGGGGCTCTGGGGAATTGGACTGGACTGAGCAGGGGTGCGTGTGTGTGCGCGCGCACGCGTGAGTGTGCGTACATGAGTGCACGCACCTGTGTGGGGCAGCTGTGGTAGAACCAGGGTGGAATTCTGAGGCAGGCTTATTTGCCTTGAGTTCATTTTTTTATGATTCCAAAGTGTTTATGGTAAAAAGAGAAGGTTCCATGTCCAAGAGAACAGGAAGCTGAAAAGTAGCTTGACCTGGGCTAGAAAGTAGAGCCCCTTGTGTCTAAAGTCAGAGGGAGCGTGTGTCAGAGGGGGTTGGTCTCCAGAGATGGCTGCAGCAGGAGCATTTGAATCCAGGCCACCCATTCTACTTCTTCTGTTTACTTTTTTTTTTAAATTAAGGTTTAATTTTTTTTAGAGCAGTTTCAGGTTCATAGCAAATGGAGAGGAAGGTACAGAGAGTTCCTGTACAACCTTTGCCCCCAAACACGCAGCCTCCCGACTACCAACGCCCCCCACCAGACTGGTACCTTTGTTACAGTTGATGAACCTATGTTGACACATCATCGTCACCCAGAGTCCCTAGTTTACATTATGGTTTATTCTTGGTGTTAAGATGTCTTTTCATGGCTTGGTAGCTCATTTCTTTGTGGTGATGACTAATACTCCATTGTCTGGATGGACCATGGTTTATCTCTTCATCTCCTGAAGGACATTTTGGTTGCTTTCAAGTTTTGGCAATTATGAATAAAGCTGGTTTAAACATCTGTGTGCAGGATTTTGTGTGGACATAGGTTTTCATCTCCTTTAAATAGCCAGGAGTGTGATTACTGGATCATGTGGTATGAGTATGATTAGTTTTATAAGAAACTTTCCAACTGTCTTCCAAAGTGTCTGTACTATTGGTATTCCCGCCAGCAACAGGGAGAGTTCCTATGGCTCCACATCCTCCCAGCATTTGGTGGTGTTGGTGTTCTGGATGTTGGCCGTTCTAATAGGTGTGTAGTGGTTATCTCATTCTTGTTTTAATTTCCCTGAAGACAGATACAAGGAGACTCTTTTCACATGCTCATTTGCCATCTGTATCTCTTTGGTCTGTTAAAGTCTTTGGCCCATTTAATCAGGTTGTTTGCTTTCTTATTGTTGAATGTGAAGAGTTTTCTGTATACTTTGGATAACAATCCTTTGAGATGTGCTTTTGCAAGTATTTTCTCCCATTCTCTTGACTTTGTCTTTCACAGGGCAGAGATTTTTAATTTTTATTAAGTCCAGCTTATCAGTTATTTCTTTCATGGATCCTGCCTTTGGTGTAGTAACGCTACGCCCAAGGCCCGCTAGGTTTTCTCCTGTGTTATCTTCCAGGGGTTTTATAGTTTTGCATTTTACATTTAGGTCTCGATCCATTTTTACTTGATTTTTGTGAAGCATGTAGATCTAGATTCCTTTTTTTTTTTTTTTTTTTGGTGCCCATGGATGTCCAGGTGTTCCAGCACCATTTGTTGAAAAGACTATCTTTGCTCCATTGTCAGAGATGAGTTGACTGTATTTATGTGGGTCTATTTCTGGGCTTTCTATTCTTTTCCATTGATTTATTTGTCTGTTTCAACAATACCGTATTGTCTTGATTACTATAGCTTTATAGTAAGTCTTGAAGTTGGGTAGTGTCCTTCCTCTGACTCTGTTCTCCTCTCAGCTATTCTGGGTCTTTTGTCTCTCTGTAAACTTTAGAATCATTTTGTTGCTATCCACAAAATAACTTGCTGGGATTTAGGTTAGGATTACATTGGATCTATAGATCAAGGTGAGAAGAACTGACATCTTGACGATATTAAGTCTCCCTATCTCTGAACATGGACTATCTCTCCATTAATTTGCATAGTTCTTTGATATCATTCATCAGAGTTTCATAGTTTTTCTCGTGTAGATTGTGTACTTATTTTGTGAGATTTATGCCTAGTTATTTCATTTTTGGGGGTGCTAATATTGTGTTTTAAAATTCAAATTCCACTTGTTCATTACTGGTATATAGGAAGGCGATAGACTTTTCTATAATTGCTTATTCTGTGATTTTTTTAAAAGGCCTAACATCCGCAGAGCAAACATCTGCTCTGTTTACTGATGGATCTGAAGAGCTTAAAACAGTGCCTGGCACGTAGTGGGTCTTCAGTGACCAAAAGCCTTTTTGAAAATTTCCCTTTGGGACCATCATTCTGTGTGTTAACTCATACCTGAAATAGTTCCATTTTAAAGGGTGGGTAGCACTTTAGGGAAGGGTGAAAGTCCCAACACAGAAGGTCAAAGACAAGGTGGGAAAGGCCACACCTTCTTCATGTTCTGGGTGGGGGACAGGGCCTATTCAGAGAAGCTGGCCAAGAAGAAGGCTATCCTGTGGGAAGCTGGGATCTTACTTAGAAAGGGCTGCAAAAGCCACTTTCTCAGGAAGAGAAGGGGAGAAAACACTTAAATATATTTATCTTTTTAAAAGTTAAGAAAGATTCGAGAGAAAGGGACAATGCCATTTGCTTCCCATTTCTGAGAAAGGATACATTAAAATAGCTTGAAATTAAGCAGGATCTATAAAATTGAGGTCCGAGTAGAGTCATTTCTCATTTTTCCTGTCTTTAAACCATGTAGTGACAGACACCCCTTTCCTGGCATCAGAAGACAGTTGTTAATGTTCATGCTAGGATTTTATTTCATTTTTGTACTGTTGAACAACATTTCAACTTCCTAATTCTAATTGTTTTATTTAAGAATCAGTTTTGTTAGGTGCTTTAATCATTATTAATCAAAATTTTTTATTTATGCATTTTCCAGTAATTTTTAACAGTCCATTCCTCTAGCAACTCAGAGAGCCTGCTGTAGGGTGATTATGTATTTTTTATTTCATAAATGAGGATGGCGAGACGTGAGTGTTTTAGAATTAGCATGTAACATAATCTAATGTAACATCATCTAATGTACTGTATAATTTGCTTTTTATTGTGTGTTGCCTGGGTGCTCCTGCTGGACTGTGAGGTCTAGGTGGACAGGAATCTTCATCTGCTCTGTTTACGGATGGATCTGAAGAGTTTAAAACAGTGCCTGGCACATAGTGGCTGTTTCGTGACCAACAGACACAGTTTAGGGTTGCTAGTCAGGTGTGCTGCTAGTACTTTGTCTCTGAATTCTACAGCCTGGGCTAGTAGTAGTCACTAGGAGTGACAAGCCGGTCCACGGAGCTACCCCTGAAAAAAGCTGTG